GATCTTGATGTATCATTTCCACCAATATCAATAATTTATTTTTGTGATAGTTTTCTACTATTATTAGGCTGATGGTGGTGACATAGTACATATATCCTACATCGTTTTATAGTAAAGAATATTTTCTTACTTTCCATTTTCATTATGTTAGCTATAAGGTTGTTGTAGAGATTGGCCGTATCGTAAAAAAAAGTTACACGTTTTAAACTCGCTCCCCCAAAAGAGAAAGCGTAGGGTATGAAAAGAGAAACTAAAAACTGAAGAAAAAGAAGAAAAAAAAAAAATAATAATGATGATAAAATGAAAATATACAAAAAACAAAAAAGAAAAAAAACAGAAAGATAATAAAAAATACTTTTTTACGAAAGAAAATAATAATGACAATAAAAATTAATGTATACTGAACTGAAACGAAGAGGAAGTCACTCTCTTTAACTCTTTTCTCTTTCTCTTTCCAGCGAACCACCTCCTTAGGGTAATGGTGAACGAGTACTTGGTAACAGGAACCAGACAGAAGAACCGAGAATTGAACCCATCAAGAGAACCGTAGAACCTTTATCTCTCTCTCTCTCTTCTTATCCTCCTTTTCTTTCTTCTACCCTCTCTCTTTTTCTCTGTTTATCCACCTCCTCCACCTTCCTATTCTACATTTTTTTTTCTTTCATTCTTCCATTCTTCCTCTTTCTCTCTCTCTCCCTTCCTTCTAATCCCCATTTCCCCTTTCTTCTCTATATCCTTTCATCCCCACGCCCACCAGAAGTAAAAAAAAAAGAAAAAAAAAGAAAAAAGAAAAAAAATGGAAGGCGGTTCCGTAGAGTGGAATGGTGGGCGGGAACGTGGGCGGTCCAGGAAGCCGTGGGTGTGGGCGGCTCTGCATATCCTGGCTTTGTTGGTCACGGCCGCCCGCGCGCAGCTGGACAACGAGGACTCTGTTTTGGGTGAGTTTGGAAAATAGATTTTGTGCTTATTATTATTATTATTTTTTTTTTTACATTTTTTCATCATTTTGTTCTTCATTACTATTCATATCATATCATCTTATCATACCATATTATTATTATTACCATTATCATTCATGCTATTATCATTATCATTATTATTATTATTATTATTATTATTATTATTATTATTATTATTATTATTATTGTTATTATTATTATTATTATGATCATTATTATATTATTTATTATTATTATTATTTATTATTATTATTATTATTTATTATCATTATTACTATTATCATTATTATTATATCATTATATTATTATCATATTATTTTATCATTATTATTATTATTATTATTATTTCATCATTCATATATTATTATTATTATTATTTTATTATTATTATTATTATTATTTACATAATGATAATAATAATAATATAATATTATTATTATTATTATATTATTATTATTTATTATTATTATTATTATTATTATTTATTACCATTATCATTATTATTATTATTATTATTATCATTGCTATTATTCTCATTATTGTTATCATTGTTATTATTATCATTATCATCATTATTGTTACTATTATCATTATAGTTATCATCATCATCATTCTACTACTAATTTTTGCATTGTTCATCGAATATCTTTTCATTTGTTCTTTTATTATCATTATCATTATTGTATTTGGTGCAATTTTTTTCTTGTATCTTATATAAAATTATAATTGCAGTTATTGCTATAATGATAATAGTAACACTGATAATAATAATGAGGAAACTAAATGTCAAACGGACAAATAAATACGTAAATAAACAAATCAAACTAACAAATAAATAAATAAACAGGTCAGATGGACAAATAAACCACAGAATAGGTCACAGGTCACACGAGCATAAAAACACAACTCATCAACACCTGATCTCGTTACCTAGTTAATTGCATCTCTGACCTAGTATATAAACCCCGACTATGGGCCGGGTGCGTGTGTTACCAAAACCGTAAAATACCCTTCCGTGCAAAACGTTCTGCAGGTGATACCAATCAGGAGGTCGAGAGTTATGGCAACAGTGGCGTCGAGAGATATGGCAACAGTGGCGTTTCGTAACCTCTAATGACACGGAAACAAGAAATGAAAGAAAATGGATAACGAGGATGATGTAACGAGTGAATAGGGAGTTATCATGGAAGAAAATTGTATACGAAAAGCGATAATGATGATTAGAGTTTGATGATAAAAGGTTTGAATGAGGGGAGGATTAGCAGAAGAATGAAGAAAAATAATAAGAAAAAGAAGTTATAGGACGAGTTATAAAAGCACAAATGGTATATATATATATATATATATATATATATATATATATATATATATATATATATATATATATATATATATATATGTATATATATATATATATTATATATATATATATATATATATATATATATATATATATATATATATATATATATATATATATATATATATATATATATATATATATATATATATATATATATATATATATATATATATATACATATATATATTATATATATATATATATATATATATATATATATATATATATATATATATATATATATATATATATATATATATATATATATATATATATATATATATATATATATATATATATATATATATATATATATATATATATATATATATATATATATATATATATATATATATATATATATATATATATATATATATATATATATATATATATATATATATATATATATATATATATATATATATTATATATATATATATATATATATATATATATATATATATATATATATATATATATATATATATAATATATAATATATATATATATATATATATATATATATATATAAATATATATGAATATATATATATACACACACACACACACATTCGTCCTCCTCACAATTCTTTTCCAAATTTTCCTCCAGTTCTTCCACTCCTTCACCTCTTCTCTCTCTCCTTCTTTATTTCCGCCTCTTCTTCCAGTTCTTTCATATTCTTCAACTTCTTTTCCTTCTTTTTCTCGGCTTCCTTCTCTTCCTCCTCTTCATCCACTCCCTCTCTCCTTTTACTCCTCCCTCCCTCCTCCTTCTCTTGCCCTCTCTTCCCTCTTTCCTCCTCTTTCTCTTCCCATCTCTCTTCCTTCCCTTCCTTCTTAAACTCGTTCCCTTCCTACCTTTTCTCTTCCATTTCTTTTTCCTGTTCTTATACCCCCTCCTTATACTTAAGATCCAAACACACATCTACAAAAAAACAAACAAACAAACAAACACTGAAACGCATTTATCATTATTAACAAAAACGGAAATTTCGTCGGCGCGATATTGGAGTAAAATATGGAATAAATAGTAATTACATTAATGGATACAGAGTGACTGCTTGGCAAAAAGAAAGAAAGTAGAAAAATGAAATAAAAAGAAAATACAGATTTTTTTCTTAATTTTTTATCTTTTTATTTTTTTATTTTCTATTTTCTTTTCTTTTATTTTTTTTCATCTTGTTTTTTTATTCTTTTCTTTTTTTCTTTTATATATTCGAAAATACCGAGGAAACGGATAGATATGTAAACCAAGAATGGATTGGCAGATAGATAGATATATAAAAATAGAGATGAATAGATATATGGGATGGTATATCATCTTAATTGATCAGAAATGATAATCTCCACATGTCATCGCCCGGAGTAAATGACATTTATAAAGGTAGCAAAGCATTTGAATTATTACTTTTATTATCATTATTGTTATTATCATTATTATTATTATCATCGTTATTATCATTATTGTTATTATTATTATAATTATTGATTTTATCATTATTGTTATTTTTATTGTTATTATTATTCCCATTATGATTATTACTATTTATCATTATTATTATCATTACTATTATAATCAATTATCGTTATCATCATTATCGTTTATTATTTTTTTCATCCCACATTCATACAAATCAACACAATATCTTCCATCCTACGAAGAATGAAATTATACCTGAGTGTCAGACACGTGAAAGAACCCCCCCCCCCCCCCCGCTTGAACCTACTTTCACAACACAACCTTGTATACGTCTCTGTGCTTTGAGGAAAATCACTACTGGATGCCTAATAATGCAGATACAAACACGGTCACTGTTCTTCAGCATGTTCTTAGTCACGCGAATGTTCTGCAAAACTTGGGGTAAAAGTGAGTGAACATTTGCGGAATGTAGACGGCAAAAGAGACTTAGAGTAGATGAATAAAAAGATGAGAAGTGGAGTGTCGAAAATTCTTGGTTGTTTGTTGTGTTTCATTATACACTTTTTATTTTCATTTTATTTCTTTTTTTTTTGGATTTTGTACATTATCGGTTCCCAAACTTTTTTGGCTATGAACCCACCTCCTACGACTATCACCTTTATATATCTTTATCTATAAGTATATTCAGTACATTTATTTATAATTACATTTAGTAATGGTATTCATAACTACATTCAGTACTGGTATTCATAAGTATATTCGGTATATTTATTAGTACACTGTATATATCAAGTGATAAGTATACTCATTACATTTATTGACAACTAGATTCAGTACAATTATGGATAATTCCATTGAGCACATTTATTAAAAAGTAAAATAAGTACATTAATTTTGGCAAGCACATAGAGTACAGTTATTGACAAGCACATTGAGTGTTATTGATACATAGATAAGTACATTCATAATTATGCTAATTACTTGATACATTGATAATTACATTAATCATGATTATATACACTGACGATTACATTAATTAATATCTATTGATAACCACATTTAGTACGTCTTCACTGCGTTTATAGTAACGTATGCTACAAAGCGAAATTAAATGGAAGAATGTATTACTTTCTCCCTCGTCAGCCAGGATTCGAGGAATAATAAATTTCGGTTAATTCTTTCAAATTTCGCCCCATTAGCTCTAAAGGACGAGGCTCTGAGCGATAACTTAAGATTTTTTTTTCTATGTTGAGCGAAAATATAAACGACGGGCTTGATGGATGTGAAGCTTTTAGTCGACTTCAGTGATTCGCAAATTTAAGTATAGTCAGTAAAGTTAGCTTGTCTGGAGACTTTGTGTAATCAATGACGTGTTTAATAATTTAGTGGGATATGAATGAAAATCCTACTGGTAGAGACTTTTTCTTGAGTTCCCCCTATAATCAACTCCCGAGAATTTAGTGAGGTTTATAATTGTAATATATATATAAGCTTTGTCATACATTGTATAAAAACCTCGTATACAGACAATCACACGCTATGTATAACTATTCACTTATCTATCTCTGTTTAAAAATCTTAAATGTATTATTTTTAACCGCTCGTTCACGCTTTGTTAGTTATTTTTTATTCATCCGAAAAAATAATAACTTATTTGTTGGGGCGATGACATGTGGAGATTATCATTTCTGATCAAATATGATGATATACCATCCCATCTATCTATTCATCTGTATTTTTATATATCTATCTACCTACCAATTCATTCTTGGTTTACATATCTATCCGTTTCCTCGCTGCTCTCAAAAATAGAAAAGAAAAGAAAAAGTAAAAAAAAAGAAAAAAAAAACTATTTGCATTTTCTTTTAAATTTCATTCTTCTACTTTCTTTCTTTTTACCGAGCAGTCACTCTGTATCCATTAATGTAATTACTATTTATTCCATATTTTACTTATTTGTTTCTGAAGCCTAATCGCCTATTTACGAATTCTTTCTCTCTACCCCTCATTAATCAACCAATTAAAAGATAGACTGATTAATACCCGCGTTCTTTCATCATCTGTTTACAATTCCATATATCATATCCTACCTCTTGTTTACCCATTAATTCACCCATTGTTTCATATTGACTTATTCGCCTATTTATGAATTTCTTATCTCTTTCCCCTCCTCAGTATTTTACTCATCTATCAGCTAATTAATAAATGGATTTATTAATCCACTCATTCTTTCATATACTCACTGATTCACCCATCTCTTCTTTTTTCATTTCGCCCCTTATTTTGCCCATTATTCACTAGAGATACTGATTAATTCACCCATTCTTTCGTAAATTCACAAATTCTTCTATCTATGTCTTTCTTCTTTCTCTCTCTTCCCATTTGCTTGAATCAGCCAGTTCATGGAAAGACTAATTCCCACATTCTCTCATTTATTCACTTCCCTATTTACACTTTCTCTCCTCCTTGTCCCCCTTTCTTTTACTCATTCATATACCAGTTAATAGGCAGACTGAATCCCCCATTCTTCCATTTATTCACCTATTTCCGGTTCCTTCCATTTATTCACCTATTTCCGTATTTCTCCCCCCCCCACCATTCTTCCATTTATCCACCTAGTATTTCTCCCCCCACCATTCTTCCATTTATTCACCTATTTCCGTATTTCCCCCCCACCATTTTTTCCATTTATTCACCTATTTCCTAACCATTCTTCATTTATTCACTATTTCCGTATTTCTCCCCCCACATTCTTCCATTTATTCACCTATTTCCGTATCCCCCCACCATTCTTCCATTTATTCACCTATTTCCTATTTCTCCCCCCCTCACATTCTTCCATTTATTCACCTAGTCCATTATTCACCTATTTCCGTATCCCCACCATTCTTCCATTTATTCACCAATTTCCGCCTATTTCCGTCACCCTCCGTCGTATTTCTACCATTCTTCCATTTATTCACCTATTTCCGTTTTATTTCCGGCATTTATTCACCCCGTATCCCACCATTCTTCCATTTATTACGTTTTCCCCCCCCCCACCATTCTTCCATTTATTCACCTATTTCCGCCCCCCCCCTACCATTCTTCTTCCTATTCCGACCTATTTCCGCGCGCTATTCCGATTTCCGCCTTCCGTTCGTTATTTTCACCTATTTCCGTATTTCTCCCCCCTACCATTCCATTATTCACCTATTTCCGTATTCCCCCCCCACCATTCTTCCATTTTTCACCTATTTCCGTATTTCTCCCCCTTCTTCCATTTATTCACCTATTTCCGTATTCCCCCCCCACCATTCTTCCATTTATTCACCTATTTCCGTATTCTCCCTCCCCCCACCATTCTTCCATTTATTCCTATTTCCGTAATTCTCCCCCCACCATTCTTCCATTTATTCACCTATTTCCGTCCATTTATTCACCTATTTCCGTATTTCTCCCCCCCATTCTTCCATTTATTCACCTTCCGTCCATTTTCACCTATTTCCGTATTTCTCCCCCCCCCCAGGTGTCTTCATGGACTCGGGCATCGTGCAGGGAGAGCGCTCCGTGGCCCAGGACCTCGTCGTATCCACAGTGAGTGCCAGTGCCGCCGCCATGACCAGGGGGAGTGTCACTGTCAAGGCACTGTCCTCCATGAATGACACGATGCCCGAGAACATGGCCGCCGTGTTGACCATGTCGTCATGCGAAGCTACTCATGCCTGGGCTAAGGGCTTGGCGGAGATGGGGAAGCTGCATATTGCGATTGGTGAGGGATTGCGTGCATGACGTGAGTGTGTGTGTGTGTGTGTACTATGGTGTGTGTGTGTGTGTGGGGATTGCGTGAGTTGTGTGTGTGTGTACTATGGGATTGCGTGAGTGTGTGTGTGTGTGTTTTGGGATTGCGTGAGTGTGTGGTGTGTGTGACTATGGGATTGAGTGGGTATGTGTGTGTGTGTATTTTGGGAGTGCGTGAGTGTGTGTGTGTGTACTATGGATTGCGTGAGTGTGTGTGTATGGGATTGCGTGAGGGTGTGTGCGTGTGTTTGGGACTGAGTGAGTGTGCTTTGGGATTGAGTGCATATGTATGTGCTATGGGATTGCGTGAGCGTGTGTGGGGAGGAAAGGGAGGGAGGTGTGAGTGGGAAAGCAAAAGTTCACATACATATAGTTCAAAATATTCCATAGATAGCATAAATATAACAATTAAAACACAAAGCACATAATCTAGCACACACACGCACAGTGTGGGTGTGAGGTTCATTAACTCTTATTCATACCTTTTTCTACATTTGGCACAATGATTGTGTGTGTGTGTGTGTGTGTGTGTGTGTGTGTGTGTGTGTGTGTGTGTGTGTGTGTGTGTGTGTGTGTGTGTGTGTGTGTGTGTGTGTGTGTGTGTGTGTGTGTGTGTGTGCCTGGTGTTTAAATCAAGTGTTAGGTTTGTTGTGCCTATGTTATTTTGATGTTGTGTGTAATCTTTTGGGTTGCATGTGTGTATTTGTTCTCTTCTTTCTTGTTCTCTCTGAGTTGGTTATGTACGTATCTGTATTTTGTATGTGGGGTTTTTATGTGTCTGTGTTTTAGGTTATTTTTGCAATTTTCTCTGAAAATGAAAATATACACCGAAGTTACCCAATTAAATCTGGAAATTCCCATTTTCTCTCACTCCAGCTGCTGGGTGCCCAAGGATCAGATTCCCAACCGCCCTAACGGTTCCTTTGTCCAGCGGCGCCAGGGACATTGTGCAGGTGTTCACTGATCTTCGAAACAAGAACACGCTCACCTGGAACGACATTACACTTATTCATGATGATAGTGTGGGTGAGTGTTTGTTTTGGTTTTGATTTTGTTTTTTTTATTTTTTTGCAATGCATGATGATGGATATTTGAGGATACAAATGGCCACAGACCAATTATGACATACAGTCAGAAACGCATAAAGATCTGTCAGCCTAGAAGCAAAACAAGTGAACACAGCGCACACACACACACACACACACACACACACACACACACACACACACACACACACACACACACACACACACACACACACACACACACACACACACACACACACACACACACACACACACAAATACACATAGATATACACACAAAACAGGCACTTTACAAAAAAAAAAAAGATAATAACAAAAACAACAAACATACGCACTGTTATTCTTATCTCATCTGCATCAACAAAACTAATATTCATTTTTTTATCCAACGAATACGGATTCTCACTCTTCTCTTCTTCTCCTCTCCTCCTCCCTCTTTCTAATCGCCAGACAAACCTGAAATTAACGATTTGGTGAACCTCTTGGCCGACAGTACCGACATGTCCAAAGAGACAGCCATTACCATTGTCGATCTCGCTTCCGCTGAAACCTCGTCTATGAAGTAAGTGTTTTGTTTATGTTTTGCTTATTTGTGTACTTATTTATTTGTTTTGTGTATTTATTTACTTATTTGTTTATTTGTTTTGCGGATTTCTCTACTTATTTGGTTATTGTTTACTTAATGTGTGTATTTTTGTTTTATGGTGTTTTTGTTTCATACACATAGATACACATGCAATACACACACACAGCACACACACACACACACACACACACACACACACACACACACACACACACACACACACACACATCACACACACACACACACACACACACACACACACACACACACACACACATATTCATATCTATATAAATGTGATAGATTCCCAGACTTATGCTTTAGAGGTTTAAGCTCAAATCTTATTCATTTCTATTTAAGGAAACATGAATAATGTTCGAGCTGCTGAAAAATGAAAAAGAATTACAATCACTAAAAACAAACAAAGAAACTAACAGAAAGAGAAAAGAAAACAAAGAAAGTCACAATGAACCAGAGAAAAAGAGCACAGACAAGCAAAGAAAGTAAAATTATAAATTCTAGTGTACATAATACCATTCTAAGTATTTTGTCTATTTCATGTATCATGGAACAAAAGGATTCTAGCTAAAGATTTGTGAATCATGAAAAAGGGAAAAATTATACTTTGGTAAGTGTGTGATGTTTATTACAAGGCAGCAACATGCAAGCCACTCTTGCAATATTCCCAAAGTTGCATTGGATTGCTTTCCCTTCCTGTCATGTCACAGTATCACAGAGTAAATATTTCCGCCAGTATTGGATTTTTTTTCTCATGTAAATCACTCATGTATAGTTTACATATGACTGCGTGAGTAAACAGACGGTAACCTCTCCCCCCCCCCCGAAAAAAAAGAATAAGAAAAAAAGAAGAAAAAAAAGGGAAAATGATTTCTTGATTTCTTGGCATTTCTTTTGTGATGCTGACATATGATATTAATAAAGTTGGTTCTGTACACAGTTTTATTACCTGGTAACATTATATTTTTCATTAGTAACAGCTAAACTTACACTTACTTTGTTAACAGTCCCATACTATGTACATTACATTCTTTTTTCAGCAAGCATTGAGAAATTTGTATTTAGTTACTACCCTTTGTTAGGATTAATAGCTGGGGATAATTGCAGATATTGAATGGCGAGTGTAAAGTGCTTAAAGTACACACACACATTCGCATGTACATACAGACACGCACGCATACATATATTAATGGCTGAAAATGTGCTCTGTAACGTAAATACATTCAATGATAATTCATGCAAATGATATAGAACCGAAAGGCTACAATGTTACACCTTGTTTTATTTATTTATCTATTTATTTATTTGTTTATTAACATCATTACTATATTAATGATAATAATAATAATAATATTATTATTATTGTTATCATTATTGATAATAATATTATTATCATCACTATTATTATTATCATAGTTATTATTTTATATTATATCTCATTCTCATTTCTTCTGTCCGTTCTGTTCACCTTTCTTTAGTATCATAGACTTTCTGTCTTTGATGATCTCTCGCATACTTTATTATCTCTTCTGTTCCTCATTTCATTCATTCTTCTGTTTCTCTTTTCCCTTCCCTCCCCTTTCTTTTAGACTTCCCCTTCCCCCTTTTCTCCCTCCCATCCTCTTCGCTCTCTCTTCGCTCCCTCCCTCTCCCTTCTCTCCTTCTCCTTTCCCTCTTCCCCTTTCTTTTAGCCTCACCCCCTTCCCCCTCTTTCACCCTCCCATCCTTCTCCTCTTCCACCTCTCTCCCTCCCATCCTCCCTCTCCCCTCTCTCTTCCTCCTTTCCCTCTTCCCCTTTCTTTAAGCCTCACCCTCTTTCGCTCTCTCCCTCCCTTCCTCCTCCCTCTCTTTTCCCTCCCATCCTCCTCCCTCCCTCTCCCCTCTCTCTCTTCCCTTTCTTAAGCCTCACCTTTCTCTCCCATCCTTCTCCTCTTCCACGTCTCTCCCCTCTCTTTTCCCTCCCTCCCTCTCCCTTCTCTCTTCCTTCTCCCCCTTTCCCTCCCATCCTCCTTCCCTCTCCCCTCTCTCTTCCTCCTTTCCCTCTCCCCCTTTTCTTTAAGCCTCACTCTCTCTCTCTCTCTCTCTCTTCCTCCTCCCTCCCTCTCCCCTCTCTCTTCCTCCTTTCCCTCTTCCCCTTTCTTTAATCCTCACCCTCTCTCTCTCTCTCTCTCCCTCGCAGACTGGGCAAACTCTTCTCGTCTCTGGGGCCTCGTCCGGGCGAGCCTCAGAACAGACAGTTTCTCGTCATCGCTTATAAGGACGATATCATCCCTATTCAAGACTTGGTGAGTTAGCTTGTGATGAGTGTGATGAGTAGTGGTGGCGATGAGTGTGATGAGTTTGGGTGTGATGATGAGTGTGATGAGTTTGGTGTGGTGAGTGATGAGTGTGATGAGTGTATGATGTGGTGGTGATGAGTGTGATGAGTATTGGTGTGATGATGTGGTGGTGATGTGTGATGAGTATTGGTGTAATGATGTGGTGGTGATGAGTGTGATGAGTATTGGTGTGATGATGTGGTGGCGATGAGTGTGATGAGATGATGATGTGGTGATGTGTGATGAGTTTGGTGTGATGTGGTGGTGATGAGTGTGATGAGTATTGGTGTGATGATGTGGTGGTGATGAGTGTGATGAGTTTGGGTGTGATGATGAGTGTGATGAGTATTGGTATGATGTGGTGTGGTGGTGTGATGATGTGATGAATGTTAGTGTGACGTCGTGCTGGTTTGATGAGTATTACTGTGACTGTAGGATGATGGTTAGAGGGATGAGTGATGAGTATTGGTGTGATGATGTGATGAGTGTAACGATGCGATGAGTATTGGTGTGATGAGTGATGATTAATGGTGTGATGAGTTAGTATGGGGCTGTGAAGGAGTAAGTTAGTGGGGAAGTAGAGGTTAGGTAAGGGAGGGGGATGGTCGTGGATAGTAGGGGAGTATGAGGATAGGTAGGGGAGTTATATTGGACAGTGGGGGAGCTGGGGGGAAGGGTAAAAGGTTTAGCTAGCGTTAGTGGAGGATAGGAAGGATCCAGAGAGGATAGAAATGGATAGGAAGAAAATAGTAGGGGAGTTAAGGAATAGTTGAAGACGGATATAAATGGGGGAGAAGGGTCAGGGGAAAATAAAATTAGGGAAGGGTGGATTATGGGTGAGGGCAATCGATTGGGGGGGAGGTAGTCACGGGTCAGCTGTTATAGTGAAGGTGTGGTGATGGTCTAATAATTTAGAGAAAAGTACTATGGTTTAGATATTACGGTTGAAGTGCTACAATACAGGTGTTCCGGTAACAGGGTGACAGTATACACAGTACCATGCAAAAGTCTTATTCGATTCAGGTGTTGTGTTATATGTTATGATTGTTATAAAGATGGGGGTGTTGTGTAGGTCAGGTGTTATATTAGCACTGTCATAATCTTATCGAAGGAATCATAGCACAGCCATCATTGAGAAAATATATGAATGGGAAAGGGTTTCTTAACAATGCAAGAGATATATTTATCCAGTTTCGATTATATCTTCAATTATACCGGCCAAGCACATCCCATGCACTGTGAAGGTATTCGTTCTCATTCGCACATTTTCTACATTTGTCACAACAAATACGGTTCATTTATTATTGAATTAAGCAGATTATTAAACAGATACTAAGGTACATTCTAAACATACAATTTTACCCAAAATAATACCAACATTCATTCTTTTTTGCTATAGACGAAACAAACGACTATGATATGTTTCTTAAAAAGCGTATCACAAACTTCAATTAATCATAGTTTACATTAAAATTAACAAGAGAGACATTTCTTTTTAATTCATTCATAAGAGCTATTTTGTTTTCACACGTTTCTCCTCTTCATTAGGGTCATTTAGAGCATGTCTTAATGATATCGTAGTTAAAACTAATGTGTTGAATTACGGTTAATTATAATTGTTGTTGGACAAGTCTTTGGAATTTTTAATCTCTCATTTTATCAATTTTCCCCCTCACTCTCTTTATCTTCCTTTTTCTCCTCTCTGTCTGTGTGTCCCTCTGTCTGTCTTTCTCATCAATCAAGCCAACCCTTTGCTTATCTACTTCAGCATATATATATATATATATATATATATATATATATATATATATATATATATAATAATATATAGAGAAGAGAGAGAGGAGAGAAGAGAGAGGAGAGAGAGAGAGAGGAGAGAGGGAGAGGGAGAGGGAGAGGGAGAGAGGGAGAGGGAGAGGGAGAGAGAGGAGAGGAGAGAGGAGGAGAGGGAGAGAGGGAGAAGAGGAGAGGTAGAGGGGGAGGAGAGGGAGGAGAGGGATATGAGAGGAGAGAAGAGACTGAGGTGAGACAAAAGAGGAGAGAGAGGAGAGGAGGGAAGGGGAGAGAAGGTGAGGAGGGTAGAAGGAGAGAGGGAGAGGGACGAGAGCGAGCGGAGAGAGGAGAGAGCGAGAAAAAGGAGAGGACGAGAGGAGGAGGGGGAGACGACGGGAGAGGGAGAAGCAAAGGGACAAGTGGAGACGAGGGAGAGGGACGAGAAAGAGAGGAGAGGGGAGAGGAGAGAGGGAGATGGAAGAGGAAGATGGAGAGAGGGAGATGGAGAGAGGAAGAGAGACGGGTGAGTGAGAGGGAGAGGGAGAGGATGAGAGGGTGGAGAGAGGCAGTGAGAGTAAGAGGTGAGATAGGCGAGGCTAGAGAGGTGGGTGAAGAGGACAGGAGGGAGAGGGAGAGGAGGGGAGAGAGGAGAATGAAGAGGGAGAAACTGAGAGAGGGAGAATGAGAGGTGAGAAGAGGGAAATTGAGAGGAAGAAGATCTGAGAGGAGGAAGATGAGGGAGAAGAGAGGGAGAAAGAGGGAGAGAGGAGAGGGCGAGAGAGAGAGGGCGAGACGAGAGATGGGAGACGAAGGAGGGGAGAGGGAGAGGTGAGGAGAGAGAGGGGAGAGAGAGGGAGAGAGAAGGGACGAGAGAGAGGGATGAGAGAGACGGGAGAGGGAGAGAAGAGAGAAGAGATGAGAGAGAGATGAGATAGGAGAAATGAGGAGAGAGGAGAGAGAGAGAGAGACAGAGGAAGAGAGAGAAGGAGAACGAGAGAGAGAGAGAGAGAGAGAGAGAAAGGAGATGAATGGAGAGACGGAGAGAGAGAGAGAGAGAAATGAGAGAGAGAAGAGAAGTCGAAGGACGGAGGAGGAGAGGGAGACTGAGAGACGAGAGAGAGAGAGATTGAGAAGAGACGAGAGAAATCACTTTCCCCCTCACTCCATTATTATCTTCCCATTTTCTCTCCTCTCGTCGGTTGTGTTCCCTCTGTCTGTCTTTCTCATTCAATTCAAGCCAAACCCCTTTGCTTTATCTAACTTCAGCAGATACATATTAATTCTGTATATATCATATATTATATTCCTCACTCCCATATATATATAATATTATTATAATAATATATATAAGCAACAAGAGACGCAGTAGAGATATATTGAGATAGTCCGAGACGATAGAGAGACGGATGAGATGAGAGGCGGGAGACGGGAGGAGGGATGAGGGAGATGGGACGATGGGCATCTGCATCTCTTCTGCTCTCTCGTCTGACCTCTCTGACGTCTCGTCTCTCTCTCTCTCTCTCTCTCTCTTCTCTGCTCTCTCTCTCTCTCTCTCCCTCCGAGTCTCTTCTCTTTGACATCCGCGCCCCGACGCAGGCCCTGCGAGACTCGGCTACCGCACCGAGGGTGTAGATTATCCACTCGATGCATGCTCTCACTCTTCTCTTTCGCGCTGCTCGTCTTGCATCCGAGGGCTGCTCACTCTCACTCTCGAGGACCTCTGTTACTACGAGGGTTTCGACTCATCTCTCTCCTCTCTCATCTCTCTCTCTCTCATCTCTGTCTCTCTCGCTCTCTTCTCTCTACTTCTTCTGCTGCGTGTCGCACGACCGTCTCCCTCTCCCGAGAGTCTCCCTCACCCCATCTCTCTCATCGATCGTGCTCTTCTACTCTCTCTTCTCTCTCCCATCAGTGCTCACCCTGCTCATCGCCTTCGTCCCTCTCTCCCTCTCTCCCTCTCTCTCGAGATCTCGGGATTCTCTGCTGCTCATCTCCCTCTCTCACCTCTCTCCCTCTCTCGAGACCTCTGTCTCTCTCTTCTTCTCGTACTCTCTCTTGACGGTCTCTCTCTCTCTCTCTCGGATCTCTGGGACTCGTCATTCGTTCTGCTAGCTCGACTGCTACTTTCTCCGGTGTAGCTGCTCTCGACACACACGAACAGCACGCGGCAAACCACAGAGCAAGTACACAGGACAGCAACATCCTCCCGCACGCCCCGCACCCTATGTGCGCCGCTTCGACCCACCCCTCATCCGCCCCTCTCCTGTTCAGAGCCCTCTCCGTTCACCGACCTCACCAGAGAGCACGGACCGACCTCACCATCCTAACAGGCAAGAGCCCCGATGCGTGAAGGGGAGCGCGGAAGGCGCACGATTCTGCTCCCTTTGGACGGCGGACGCAAGGGAATGCGCTGAGGGCACCTTTGGAGCACCTTCCTGCACGGCTGTACCGGGCTCTTTCGTCCGCGTCTCTGGGACGGACATCGCTGTGTCTGGGACCCATGCGCTGAGCGCAGTGGAATGCCCTAGGAGGGCCGGACCGATGCTAGGTGAATTACGTCATTGTGACCGGACTATCTGCACGATGCATACGGCCGTTTTAGGTTGAGGTTGGTGTCTTTCGGGTTTGGTGAGGAGAGAGAGATAGGGTAAGGATGGGTGTAGTTGTAAGGTGTTTTTATTATTGTTGTGTATAGGAATTTTTTATTTTTTGGGCTTGGGGATGGATGAAGGAGGAGGAGAGGAGGGGAGAGAAGAGCCAGTGGTTTTGAACCTGTTTTTTTTTTTTTTTGTTTTTTATGTTTGGTTGATGATGTGTTGAAATTGTATTTGAGTTTGGGTTTTTGTTTGTTTTTTTTGTTTTTTGTATTTTTTGAGGTTTGTTACGTATTGGGTATTGAGGATGATGGGAAGAGGGTATTAGGGAGTAGGAGAGGGAGTGTAGTTGATTTAATTTCTTGTGAGAGGAGAGAGGTGATTGTGTTAAAGCTTATTTTTCCTCTTTCTCATCATTTTGTATATTTTTTGTTTAGGTGCGTCATTTGTGGATGTTGGGCAGATAACTTTGAAGACTTTTGATGTTAAAACTTTTTTCCTTTTTTTCATTTTAGTATTTTTATTTTTATTTTGATGTTATTTGATTTGATTTATGTTATTTTTAAGGTCTAGTTTTTGAGAGTCACCTACCCGATTATTTTTCTATTTTCTTTCATTGTTTCACTTTTGTGGAAGAGGGAGCTGGTTTTACGTAATGGTGGTTTGGGGAGGTGTTTTCGTTGTTGAAAAGCAGAGACAGGTAAAGAAACAAAAAGAAAAAAAAATGAAAAAGATGTAGTGTGGGAGTTTAATCTCTTTCCCTATTTCGCTCTCTTCTCTCTCTCTCTCTCCTCTCTCTCTCTCTCTTCTCCTCTCTCTGCTCTCTCTCTCTCTTCTACCTCTCGTCTCTCTCTCTCTCCTCTCTCTCTCTCTCTCTCTCTCTATCTCTCTCTCTCTCTCTCTCTCTCTCTCTCTCTCTCACAACCACACAACACACACGACGCACACACGCAACAACAACCACACATTCTACCCAATCCCACCCCTCCACTCCCCGCTCCCAACCCCCCACCCCACCCCACCCTGTCAACCCGACGAACAGGCCTAAGGCAAAGAGCCGACACATTCGTGCAGGCGATTCTACGCACGAAGGTTCGAGGCGTCGACGGGCGCGGAGACGCCAGCCTTACGGGCAAAGGTCGCTCGGAGCAACCTCCTAAAGGGAGAGGGACGACCACCTTCTGCCACTTTCCGGTTCTTAGAGGGAGCAGAGACAAGGGGAGACGATCGAAGAGGCGGGATGAGAGTAGCAGGCGGAGGAAGTATTCGCCGGTCTTAGAGAGGATGAGAGAAGGAGAGAGAGGTGAGCGGGAGGGAGGAGAAGGAGAGGAGGGGGCAAGCAGGGAGGAGGGATTGGAGGAGAGAGCATTCGCTGATTTTCATGGCCCGTCTACGCGGCGTATCATCCCAGAGAGCGGACCCCTAGGCTACGGAGGGGTGGATTACTCATGCTGACTCTCAGCATCCATGATTGCATACCGGCGTTAAGAGTGAGAAGTATGGAGAGGATGTCTTACAGGAGTAAGAGGTTGAATAGGAGAGAGGATGAAAGAATAGAGAGAGAGGAGTATGATGAGTATCGGAGGAGAAGGGGGAGAGATGAGGAGGTAGGAGAGAGGAAGAAGAGGGAGAGGAAAGAGAGGAGAGAGAGATGTGGAAGGAGACGTGGGGAGCGGATGATATCACCGAGGGAGAGCGGACGATACAGCAGAGAAGGATGAGTAATGAAAGCGAGAGAGGGAGGAGCTTGTGGCAGATCGGAGAGAGATAGAGAGGCGGAAGAGGAAGAGAGGAGACGAGATGAGCGAGACGGAGGAGAAAGAGAAGAGATAGGGAGATGAGAAGAGGAGGAAGAGAGAGAGAGGAAAGAGGCGGGGAATGGGAAGGGGAAAAGAGAGAAAAAAAAAGAGGAAAAGAGGAAAGAGGAGAAAAAAAGGGAGAAAGAGAAGAGAAAAGAGATAGATAGTGAAGATAGATAGATAGAGAGAAAGATAGATAGATAGATTAGATAGATAGATAGATAGATAGATAGATAGAGAGAGAGAGAGAGAGGAGAGAGATGAGAGAGAAGAGAGAGAGAGAGAGAGAGAGAGAGAAAGACAGACAAGCAGACAGAGAGCGAGAGAGAGAAACTGAAAAAGAACGAAAGAGAACGAGAGAGAGAATAAGATCATATATATTTTTGTATTTATATGAAAAATAATAAACAGATATCCAAGACGAAACTATCCAACTTATCAGCCTTACCAACACCCCTCCTTCTCCCCCACCGCCCCCCCACTTTATAGGCTCGATCCCTAGGCCTCTTCGGCTCCCAGCATCAGTGGCTCTTCGTCGTCCCGAACACCCACGCCCTTCGCTACGACATGGACTCCTATTTGGCCAACATGAAGGACGGGGACAACATGGCCTTCGTGTACAACATGTCCGATCTCGCTCCCACTGTTAATTGTAATGTGAGTGTTGTTATTGTTTTGAGATTCTTGTTGTTGGTTATGTTTTGTGATTGTTGTTATTTGTTGTTGTTGTTGGAGTATTATTTTTGTATTCCTCGTTTTCATTTTTATTATCTTTATCATCATTATCGTCTTCATTTTCATCTTCCATCTTCATCATCGTCATCTTTATCATCTTTGTGGTTGTTATTGTTGTTGTTGGTATTGTTGGAGCATCATTTGCGTCATCATCATTTTCATCTTTATTGTCTTTATTATAAATATCATCGCCTTCATCTCCATCTTCCATCTTCATCATCTTTATAATTGTTATTGTTGTTGTTGATGATATTGTAAGCATAATTTTCGTCTTCCTCATGTTCATCTTTATTATCTTTATCATTATCATCATCATCATCATCATTGTCGTCGTCGTCGTCTTCATCTTCCATCTTCATCATCATCATCAACATCTTTATCATCTTCAATGTATATTTGATTATTATCATCATTATTATCGTCCAGAAAAGATTTCTCTAAATTTAAGGTTCTTGTCCCTTCATTAACTCGCACTAAAACATTTCTTTCACCTGGATGATATATATTTTTCCACGATGTCTACACCGATTTGTAAAGTCCTAAAAACAGCATTAATCCTTAAAATTGAGAAGCCTCGTTAAACCTTTTTAAGCCGAAAATTCGATATTAACAACTTTAGGACTACTTTACAAGAAAATGTTATTTCGATTGATATATGATAGATAGATAGATATACAGATAGATAGATAGATAGATGGATATATGATAGATAGATAGATAGATATACAGATAGATAGATAGAGTTAATTCGACTGATATATGATAGATAGATAGATAGATATACAGATAGATAGATAGATGTTAATCAGACTGATATATGATAGATAGATTGATAGATATACAGATAGATAGATAGATGTTAATCAGACTGATATATGATAGATTGATAGAGATACAGATAGATAGATAGATGTTAATCAGACTGATATATGATAGATAATAGATAGATATACAGATAGATAGATAGATGTTAATCAGACTGATATATGATAGATAGATTGATAGATATACAGACAGATAGATAGGTGTTAATTCGATTGACCCCATATATGACTTCCCAATATATGTCGACTTGATGAGGCAGTGACGAATGGCTATACTATCCCCGGGGACAGCGAGTTGTTTATTTAGTTGTTATCGACATTTACTTTTTTATGTTATTTTTTATTTCTTGATAACGACTTTTGTACGACTCTGACACGACTTCAATGTTCACTTTGGATGTGGTCTGTGGCGTCCTTTTATCCTGTGTTCGGTGTTAACGAATGATCCATGTTTCGCAAAAAGAAAAAGAAAAAAGAAGAAAAAATAGTAGTGAAAAATTAAGAACGGAAAATTTCGAATTTAGTCTCTTCGCGGTCTTGGGATTTTAGAACCAAGATTTTTTTTTTTTCTATAAATGCTTCTAATCATAGGATTTTTCTGTTAATTATATTTAACCTCCTTTTTTATCAAATAAAGGATAATATAACTTTTCGAAGGCAATCCATTTTTAATTTCTATCTTGACTATAAATCAAAGAGAAATACATGGCATTATGAATACGATGTGTATAGACCATTTATAAAGGGGAGGTTAATGCCCCGTGGAACAGCCACAGTGACAG